TGTTGTTGTTATTTTGGTGGTTCTAGGGATTGAACCTAGGGCCTTGTGCATGTGAGGCAAGCACCCTACCAACTGTGATATATCCCCATCTGGTGATATGGTCTGACAGTGTTTGGATCCCTATGGTTAGAGCTGAGGTTACTGACAACCTGATGAAAGAATAGAATAGAAAGAATCCCACAATTCTTTCCTTTGGGCAATCCCTGCCTTCCTTTCACCAGAATAAAAGAAAAGGACCTTCCCCATGGCYACTTGTCTCTTCTTTGGTAATCTCCTCCTTTGGATCAATTTTTATTTCAAGTTGGAATATTAATGAACTGTAGCTGGACTGCTTGGTATGTCATTCACTTATGCTATCTTTAAAGAAATAATTTGTGCCTTCATTTGAGATTATACGCATATAAAATTTCACATATCTCAAATGACAAGTTAGGGGCAAAGAATACACGTCAGAGTACTATGATTTATAAATCAGAGATAAGGGAATGACAGCCCAGGGGGCAGAAACACGAGCTGACAGTCATGTAGCCATGGCTCATCTTCTCAGTTCCGGTACCTACTCTGTGATCTTGGGCAAGGTGGACATGAAAAAGGTCCACATTTGGCATCTGACACGCAGCATGGTCRTGGTGGGAGCAGTGCTTGTTGACTTTGGCAGAACACAAAATGAGAACATTGAACTTCTTTCATGAGACATCACAGGTGACATCCCTCCCTTAACAAAAGGTACAAAGTACAAAGTGAGGAGGCTGCGGCTAGATTCTGGTTCCTCCATGGAGTCTGAGCATCCGATTCAGACCCCCACAACCCTCCGTCTCTGCACTTTGGTTCTGATAATGTTGTAAGCAGAATCCACAGAATAAAGGACCATCCAGCAAACAGTGCAGAGCACGGGGAGGGCTTCAGAAACTTTGCCACGGTCCTAGCTGATGGGTAGCAGAACAGAGGCTGAAACCCATGCCCCTACATCACATTCGTTCACCAGTTTTTCTTGGTCTTCTTGCCCCTGACTCTTAAAATTTTTGAATTTAGTAACATTTGATTTACCTCCATTTGAGATTTCACCGYGTCCTGGAATGCACAATAGCAAGGATCTGAAGACTCTGACTCAAGTTTCGGCTTTGTCACGTACTAATTGTGCTGCCTTTAGCAAGTCACTCATCTTCTGCAGGTCTTAGTGTTGACGCCTTAATGCGAACAATAACATCTGCACTTGTTGCTTTTCTGGAGTCATTACAAAGTTTAATGAGATTTGTATGAAAGCTTCTTGTAAGCTGTGCTGTTCTATGCAAATGTGAGAAAGTGTTATTTATTAGGAGGACTGCCCCCCCCCATTTCCCTGTGTCTTCTGCCACATGCCTGCAGATTCCTCCTCCTTTTTAGAATCCTCCCCTTCCCCAAGGGTCCTTTTCTCAAATTTTTGCCTTTACTCCTTCAGGATGCTTCATCTCAATAATAACTCTTTATACATAGCCTCTGACTAATAATGTAACAGAAGAAGAAAAATAAAAGTCTTATTAATTAAAATTATACCAATCTTTGAGAAATATGGGATCACCTAGCAGAACATTATGCCAAGTACTATCCGATGCTATTTTGTTTGCATTGATCTCAAATGTTCAAGAGTTGTATACAAATTAAGCAAGAGAGGTGTCTGAAGATTACCCCCACGTGCTCCTGAGTCACTAGATGTAGTCATGGCCACCCCCGGAAGTTTTCAGCTAAAAATCAAATTATCTTAGCGAATACTGGAAACTGTAACTGTGGAGGTGGAGAGCTTGACAGACTCCTRTGTTTTTCTGTTGTGATGGAAAAATGAACCATTTGATCCAAGTGTAAGCCCATAGGCTTTGTTGTCTGTGTGACCTTGGCTTAATATTGCTAAACAACGTTACTTATTTTCTTTGGAAAAAAAAAAAAAGTTAACAATGTCCCAATGGAGTATTGGAGGTAATTGAATTATGGTACTTTGGTTTATTTTTTCTAATCCATGCAAAGAGATTCCATTGTAAAGACACATGTATTAAAAGGAGACAGAGGGCAGGAGGCACAATGGAGCTGGCCTCACCGAGGCCAGGGCTGGACTTTCCCATTCTAGGTCACTCCACAGTGGAAGTTGGCCACTTGTCCCCCATACAGCTGCAGGGTGGACTGTGACCTCTTGTGTTTTTCCTTTCGGTTAGTTTCTCCTCCTACTGGCTTTGGCCCTTCGGTTTCCCCAACRCTCAGCTCAGCTAAGTCCCTCCAGTTCAATTCTGTCATCCAACATCCTTTGTGTGACTAAGTTGTTCTCTTGCTGTGTGTTTCTCCATTCATAGCTTTGGAGAGATCACCCAGTTCTGGGACCAGTAGAAGATTGTTGTGTAGGGGGTCAAGTTTACACCGGGTTCGAGTTCAGATCCCGACCTGCGCATTTTCTGAAGATGTGACCTTAAGCACATCTTAAGATGAAGGTTGCTTCATCTGTGTCTCGGGCTTCCTCGTCTGAAAAATGGGTTCGCTGATTCAGAATTCACAGGAGTATTATTGATTCATAAATAACAAAAGTCAAGTCCTGGGCACAGTTCCTGCCACAAACTAACCCTTCAGCAAATGCTAGCTGTAGTGAGGAGAAAGGCACCCTGATGGGGGTCTGATACAACCTTACCAATGTTTCGCCTCCTTCCTTGGTGTTGAAGCAGATGGCACGGTCCYATCCCCATCTCTCAGAATACGCCTGCTTCCTAAAAATAGGTGGCATTCACCAAGAGCTGGTGGAGCTGCCCAACACTTGATTAAGGCCACAGGAAGCCACTGGCTTCTATCAAGTTAGCCTTAGGCCTCTTCCAGGAGACTAAGTGGCTGGCTCTCTGTTTCCAGCCACCAGAAGCAGCTCATGCTGATGGTGTTAAGAAGGCCCAACTGGGCAGCGTGGTGCCCTAGGATGAAGCCTTCTCCAGGGGAGGCCGTATTTGCAGACCTGTGAAGTGATTTCTTCTGACATTTCCACATCAGGAGGGGAAGCCCCAAGATTTCACATGAAGGAAAACACGGGGAGCTAAAGTAGGCRTGGGATGAGATGGAGTGTTTGCTTTGGGCCATAGAAATTCCTTGGGTTGTTCTGCAGTGATGCTTTTTAGAAAGGGGCCGGTTCACAGCACTGAGGGTGACGGGTAGCCAAAGGCTTTCCAGCTCGGAAAGGGTTTCCAGCCGTTTTTGACAGGACACAGCTCCTGCCTCCTTCAGGGCCGCTGTGCATCTGAAGGCTCCCTGTGCACCGTGACTGTGTGGGGCTACATGGGTCCCTCCCTTCTTTTTCACAGCCCCGGAAGCAGGGGCTGCCACACCCTCATTTTACAGATGGGAAGCMGAAGCACCGGGAGGCTGAGCTGCTTTCCCACGGTCACGGTCACGTGGGTTGAAGTGGTCGAGTCGGGAATTGTACTCTGTTCTTCCAGGTTGTTGATTAGAGAATATTTTGGTGCATAAATGACCTAAATAACTTTTCGCCACCAAAGTAGGACCTTTGTAAGTCCACAGGTGCATTTCAGAAATATATATGTGACAAAGGAATTCGTGTTTAACCTGGGAGTGCAAAGTTTGGAATATGGATRGCGATCTCTTCATCCAGCAGACGTTACTTAGGTATCAACTTTACTGATTATTCAGGGCCCACTCTGTGCCAGGTGCTCCGGAAGCCAAGCAACACAAGGTCTGCAGCTGCTTTCAAGGGGGGCACCCTTAGGAGAGGCGCCAGCTAAGGCAGCCTGTGAAACTTGCCGATTCACTCTCAGCAAGACCCTGAGACAGTGGTGGCTTTGAACCCACCCTTAAAGCCATCCTTCTTGCCTTTATCCATTCTGTGTGGTTGAGATCAGTGAGCAAGGACAGGTAGGTAGGACTGGATGCTTTCCTCCCGAGAGGACAGGGAAGGAAGGAGCAAGATAGGCTTAAAAGTTCCGGTCGCCTCACTTGGAAGGGAACCTGTGGCCAGATGCTGATGAGCCCTGGCTTGCACTGAAAGAGTTTGGTTTCTCTAACCCAAGTCTTTCTCAGATGGAGGYTTATGAAAATAAGAAGCACATTAGRACCAYATCTGTTGGAAAAATGCAAGTTGGATGGGACGTGTTCCCCCATGTGACTAGCAAGTAGGTGCTAAGCGCAATCCCCAATAGTAGTTCTRGAAAATAAAATCATTGGTAGCATCATTGGAATCCAGTATCAAGGATCAAGATATGTTGGAATCGATCTATCAAAGATGACTTTGATATATTTAATAACTTCCTTATTTCAAAAGTACTGTTAATAGAAAATACCCGATAACATCTCTCCTCCAGAGGAAGCTTGGAGTTTTGAAACAGACACTTCAGTCTTCCCGCATCCATTGGGACACCCTTTTGATCTCTCCTCTTTGAGTCWCTCTCCTGCCCAGAATGGAGTACAGCCTCCTGATGGCTCACAGGCACCATCCTGTTTCTGCACAGCGCTGGCCTGGGTGTGTGCCGTGAGGGAGGAGAGTTGCCTGGTTATTTTGAGGCCTTTTAAAATTAGGTCTCCTTTCTCTTTCTCTCTTACTCACAGATTGGCTGGTGGCCATGGTGTCTGGCCGCTGTCCACGTGTCTGCTTGTAAACAGTTGCTAGTACATTTTTTACCCTTGATCAAGTGCTCGGGTGTCTAATGACCAGGCTAGTCGATATGTGTTTTTAAAAAATAAGAGTTAACAGACTCTGAGGGAGAACAAAGGGGCTCTTTTGAATTAGGAACGGGAGCTATTTTCACCGTCAGAAAAAGCACTACTTCTCTGTGTAGAGATAATTGAATTTTGTATTATTAGTGACATTTACATAGYGGCATTACTATGAGGGATGCTTTGGCGGGAAGGAAGGAAGGAAARAAGGAAAGGAGGGAGGGAGAGAAGGTGGGGAGAGAGGAAGAAAAGAAAACCAGGCTGGTGCTGGGTTTTGGTGGCTTGATTAATCTCATTTTGCATTTCTCTCTTTTCACGTTTGCTGTTTGCAGTGGTTTGAACTTCATTGACTTGATGGTGCGACAAGGGAATATTGACAACCCTCCCAAGACTCCCCTGGTGCCCGGATTCGAGTGTTCTGGGATCGTTGAAGCTCTGGGAGACAGCGTGAAGGGATACGAGGTATTGTTTTGACGCTGCCTTAAAGAGTCATCTCCCTCTGGAATCCAGGGAGACAATAGGCGAKTAGGCGGAAACATGCTTGGAGTCATTAGGCCTGGTGTTATTCTCATTATCTTATTATTCGGTTTTATTAACAAGGCTTGTAGCGATAGGACTTTCCAAAGACCTCATGCCTSTCTCGTGTACTGTTTTGGTTGCTTCTAGTAGTTCTTTGGATAAGTGAGCAGCATGAATCTCCTCTTCCCCTTTATTCATGTAATGCAGCTACTGAATCAGTGTCTGGACTTGGATTAGCTAAGGGGCATGGCTCCTTGCCCCATCTGCCATTTACCATTACCTTGGGCTCAAAATTACAAAGCCTAAACATTCCGGAAGGGGGTGGGGAATAACCTCTGTATTTTATAATTTGGTTCCTTTAAATATTTATTCAACATACACATTTATCATCTATAAATCCTTAACTACTATAGGAATAAGGGAAGTAACATTTTGGTATGAAGAGATCTTAAGTCAAAGAGTAGGGGGGCTYGACAATGAGACAGAGTTGGCCATGGATTGATGGCTTCTGAGGAGGACAGTGGGTAAAAAAGGTTTATTATTATGTTATTCTGACCACTTTTGTTTATGTTCAAAGTTTTCCATAATAAAACTATTTTTTTTAATTTGTGAAAAATGCATGACCCTCTCTACCATTATGCAAAACAAATATAATAAGGTCTATACAAACTAAACACTATGGACACATCACTTGCCTAAAATTATAATATTTTGGAGTCAGAAAAATCAATGCAAATCACGAACAAGAGYGCTCAGTCATAACTAAGTCTTCCCAGGGGAAATGGGAGGGATCTCATACCTGAGAAGCCACCAGAACCAGAACCATAGAGAAGTTATCTTGTAGAACCCTKCAAGGTAAAGGTCATGATTACCCCTGAGGGTCAGAAAGGTTCAGTAATTTCCTGCGAGGTCAGAAGGGTAGTGAGTGGCAGTAGGACCTGGATTTGTCACCAGAGCCTTTTTACATGCCTAGAATTTCAGTCTTGACCCCAACCCCCAAGTGCTGCAGCACTAAATACGAGAAAGAACTGAAGGCACATCCTATAAAGTCCATTGCCAGAGTGCCCTTCAGGTGGATTGGAGTCTGCTTCTCAGTCTCAGAGCATCTGAGCCTCATTGTATTCTGAAAATATTAATATGCCTCAAATTCCTTATAATGAATGTCCAGRAATCTCATCCCACTTATCACTTTTCTGGTCAATGGCTTCCAGATAATACAGTAGAAAAATACTGAGAAAGAAGAAAATGAGTTTTTTYTTTCTTTCTTTCTCTCTCTTTCACATGACTTTTACATTTTCTGTCCCCAGGTAAGCAGTATAACCAGAGACACACTCTCTCTCKCCCTGAAAGAACTGCCTTAGGAGATTATCTGTTCTTAACTCCTACACATGACCTAGAAGGAAAGCCCTTCCTACTCACTCTATTAGTCCTTGAATAAATAACCACGGAATAAATAACCGGTGATCTCAGAAGAAAACAGCGAACAGGGGCATTATTAGACTCGGTGTAGAGGGCTAACTTACTATACTTGTTGATGTCTATTTTTCCTCTAAATATGATTTATCTTCTCATTAGCCCTGGATTCTTACTATCAAACGCACCCCCGAACTCTCTTTTCACCAATGCGTTTTTTTTTTTTTTTTTTTTGCCCAGAAATAAATAAAAGAAGCCCCCTCCACATTCCCAGTTAGAGGGTGATGTGAGAGAAAGCTGCACTAATACGCGCTGTGCCATTTCAAGATTTGCAGTCATGCTGGGGATGGAGTTCCAGGCAGAGCACAGCAGCCTGCTGGAGAGCTCTCTTGCTCTGATCAGTTGTAAAGGAGGATGGAAAAGTTGTCACCAGAGGCCCAGCAGTAAAGGAATAGCTTCAGCTCACTCACGCAAATCAAGAGTGATTTCTGTTTCTTAGCAGAAATAAATAATACGGTGACTCGGTTAAATATTTAYATACATATTATATAATTAGACTCGGAGGTTGAGGCTGTGGCCTGGCCACATTTGTGGTCCGGAGAATGGACAGGAAAGAGTGTCAGTCTGGGAGTGGTCAGTCGGCCTGCATTGTCCCTTCATTTCACTCTCTTGCCATCGAGGCCATTGCTGCTCTGTGGCACTGAGGAGGCCAGTGTGCGCCCTGGTTACCATCTGGTCCAGACCCTGGCAGAGAAGTTGATCACTGACCTTCGGGGATAGGGACACACCTCGGTGGGACAGCTTCTCCTTTCTCTGAGTTCCTTAGTTCTGCCACCTCATGACACAGAGTGAGTCTTTGTTTAACCTTTGATCGGTGATCTGTGAATTCCATGAGATGAGGAACCGGTCTGCTTTTAAGAATTACCATGTTTTGCTCTTTCCTCATTTTTCTTAACTCTAGCTAAACATCTTCTTAAGACGCACCCCTTTTATTAACATACCCATTTTAGGACTGAGAAAACCGAGACCTAAAGAGTTCAACTAATGTTCTCAGACTTCATAGCTTCCCCTGTTGTGCATCYGCCTATTACTTTATGGTTTTTTGTAGCATTGATCTCAGGTTTCATAAATTAATTATTTGTATCTGGAGTCAGATGATCTGGATTCCAGGTCTGGCCCTGCTGCTCTCTGGCTCTGTGACCTTGAGCATGGGATTTAACCTCTCTTTGCCCTCATTTAAATGCCTGTATAATCTACGTCCACTCATCTGAATGACGGGGTCATTGCAGAACTATGTCAAAGGAGGCTTATGTTTTTGTTAGATGCGGGTAGAAGAGAAATACTRAGCTACAAGGAAAATAAAACTGTCTTTCACTGTCTCAAGTGAAAAAGAATACATTTCTTTCACTGTCCCTAGAGGATTAAGGCAGGTTGAACTTCCACCTGGATCTTGGAGGAGATAACAGCAGGTGTGGTGATTCCTAGGGTTTTCTTGACTCTCCCTGAACAGAAATATTTGCAATGAGAAATCTCATGGCCTTTCCTGAGGCCACTACAGCTGGACAGGCCAGAGCCACTGTAGACTCCCCGCAGATTCAGCAAGAACACGTGTCTAGCTGAAGATCACYCCTTGGGAGGAAAGGAGACCTCGCCGATGTTGTGCCTTCGAGCTTGATCTCTGTGGAATGTTTCTGATAGTTTCTGGATCTTTTCCTGGGAAGGAAGAAAAGGCCTCACACTAGCATTGCTGGCCAGGGAAGGTGGACATCCCCCTTTGCAATGTGAMGAAGAAGGGGTCTGGTTGGACCAAAGAAAAGCTCTGGAGTGGGACAGATCTGGACTGGAATTCTTCCAGTTTTGTTCTTTAGACTCAACTTCCCCATCATAAATAATAGTTTATGACTATTCATGAAGTTCAAGAATTTCATGAGTTCCTGCATCTGGGCTAAGTGCCTTTCTTCATATGACTTCATATAATTCCGAAAAGAACTCATGAATATGTTGGAATCTCTGTAAATGTCACTTACCATTTTTAATATCAGTAGCTCCTACCAGCCCTGCCCCAGCAGTTCTAAGCAAGGCCAGACAGTGATTTTCCCTGTGGATTCAGAGACACTTCCTTTGAGACTATTGGAAGAATAGAACTGCCCTTATTCTCCCACACCTCCCCCACCCCCGTAGAGAAGTTAGACCAGGGTCAATTGCTCACAATSGTCAATCCATTTCTCTCTACAAACCAAGCACTGCACCATGCCTTGAGAATCCTTGGGCCAAAAAGCCCCGGTCTCTGCCTGGTGACAGCTCACTCTTTAGAGGAGAGAGCCAATCACGTAAAAGGAGAGAGAGCCCCTGACAAGGATCAGCACAAGAACAAAGGGCTGCCTAAGGGGTGGGACGAACTTTAGTTGAAGTCCTGTGTTCACCACTTACAGCTGTGAGGTCTTGGGAAAGTTTCTCAGCTACTCTGGGCTTTGATTCCCAGTCTGTCAGAGGGAGCATGATAAAGGTCTCACCACGTAGGACTGCTGGAGGATAAAACACAGTGACACGGCCCACAGACTTATTCCAGCACAAAGGACACGCTTCAYACATACAAACACTAGAAATGCTAAAAAGAGGGGCTGGTTCTGGCTTTGTGGGAAGGAGGGTCATCAGGGAAAAGGGGAAATCTGAGCTGAGTGTTGAAGGAAAGCAAAGRTTTGCCTCAATGAAGGAAGATAGGGAAGGCCAGCTGCAGGAGAAGCAGGCCCAGAGCCCCAGTGCTGTGAGAAACCTCTCTAGGCTTTTCCTAGGGGGGGGGTTCCAAGATAGCCACAGGGCAGAGGCAGGTGTGGGTACTGGACAGGCACCGGGGCTGAGCCCGCCTKTCTCCCTTTCTCAGGTGGTCTTAACTCCCACCCACACCGCCACTTTGTCAYTTTAGGCTGATGTTCTTAGCTGTCCCCTCTCTGGGACAGACTAATGCCACTGTCAAGGTGGAGGGCCACCCCCTTCCAGTATCTGAGTTTCCCGGTTATTTATGGGCCGGGGAGGGGGGAGAGAAGGCAGCAGCTGGGAACAAGGCCACAGAGAGCACACAGGGAGACCCACAAACTCTTCCCATCCACAGCGTCCTGGAGAGTTTGGGACAGGAGGAGACCAAGCTTCCCAGGATGGGGAGGAGAGACTCAAGGAGGCAGTCAGAGACGCCTCCCTGCCCAGCTGTCAGATCACCATGCTGATTTCTTACCACTCCCAGAGCTAGCCGACCAGGCTGGGCCCCGATTCTGTTGCTAGCAAACACACTGGGGCAGAGTGATTTGCTACTGTGGTTCAGGTGTCTCTCCAGAACTCCAGCCGCCCGGCCCCTGATGGTATGCCTTGGCACCTGGAGTGGAGATGCCCAGGCTCACAGGTAATGTTCCTGCCGCAGTCCACACCTGTCTCATCCACTGGAACTCTTCATGACCCAGGTCAGAGGGATGCCCGGGTTGGTGAGCCGTCTTTCTGCTTCAGCACTCCCAGGCTGGATGGCAAGTGGGTCCTTGTAGGCACACTGAGGCTMTGGCAACCCTACTCCAAAGTACCCAGAACTGGCAGTCTGGCCAATCCCCAGGGAGCCAGGGAGCTTACCTCCAAGCGACTGTGGCATCCCGGGCTCCCATCTACTCTCCCCCACTCACACACAGTATGACCTTATTATCTTTGGATCACCGTCTGAGATATCACCACCACAGCTTCACTCTCTACTAACATATCCTTTCCCAAAGGATTCACCTTCCAAGCCCTGTCACCCACATTGCTTGCCACATGAAATTTTCAGGGAATATGAACAGTTTGAAAGCACGAATTGTACTTCATTTATAATTGTATCTCCAGTCCCTAGGGCCCAAGAACAGAAGGGGCTTAGTAAGTAATCCTGGCAGGGGATCATGGTGGTGTCATGAGGAGATATTTGGAATTCAACAGGACTTAGGCTGGTTGTTTGTAGCCCAGAGACTTGACCTGTCTCAGTCTCAGTTTCTTATGTGTTATTGGGGACAGTATCCCATAAAGCTGTCATGCATACAGAGCAAGTGACATCAAATGAAGTTCACRGAGTGTGGTGTGTTATTATCGTATAGTCAATGGTAGCTTTTCTGTTGTGATGAATTGTGCACATGGAAAAACCTCTGAGTAGAAATCCATTCTCCAGCTGGGCTGTCAGTCTCTCAACTTGGACWATGGGGACTGAAATTCTGGAGAAGTCTTAAAGGAAGGGCACAGGTTGGCCAGGGGCAAGGTGTGTTATCTTCTCCCTTCTCTGGATGTGCCAGGACTGTTCTGGCCTCTTGCTGCCCCCTAAATGATGTTCAGAATTTCAAGGAGAGAACGGGTCCTCCACCTCCCAGCTTCCCTGGTTCTAGGAATGAGGCAGTTATCCAGAGCTGCCAATAAATTTCGTAACTTGTGAAACTTGAATAGTAGTTTGAGATTTTCCTGCAAATTTATTAAAGAGTTATCTGTTTCATCAAAGAGTAAAAGGCAACTGAACTCAGAAGAATTTGGATGGAAGTCCCAAATATATGAATTAGGAAGAAGAAAAATAATGATATTAGGTACCATGGACAGCTCCAAATGTTTTAGTCCTCCTTGGCCCTCTGTCATGAGTTAGCCTTCATTAACCCTGTATTTCCCTGTGCCCAGATCGGGGACCGTGTCATGGCCTTTGTCAATTACAACGCCTGGGCTGAAGTGGTCTGCACGCCAGTGGAGTTTGTCTACAAGATCCCAGATGACATGAGCTTCTCTGAGGCAGCCGCGTTCCCCATGAACTTCGTCACAGCATACATGATGCTCTTTGAAGTGGCCAACCTGCGGGAGGGGATGTCTGTGCTTGTGCATTCAGCCGGTGGTGGAGTGGTAAGTTGGCTCAGTTTCCTCAAGGTCAAATAGGGAAGTGGACTGATACCCAACTGAAGATTGGGTTCTTGTGTGAGTTAGGCATTAGTGGAAGTCATCTATAGCTCTGRGGGTCCCTCGGGGATGGCAGAGCCCCAATAGATGATTGCATTGGTAGAAACCATCATAGACGGTTTCTCTGGAGGTGAGGAAGCTCTCCCCGGTGGCATGTGAGGATACAGTGGTCTCTGAGCTGGTTTCTGTGGAGAAGCACTCTCAGTCACGGAATCAGGATGAAATGTTGTGTCAGTCATTGTGAGATGACTTGTCAATAATGTAGGAAGCATTTTGAAGGCACTGCCAAAATTTTCAGTAAATTGCACTGGACTTGAGATGGTACCTACCTTACTGACATTTTCATTCAYTTGTGTTCTGGTGGTGGGAGAAGGGAAGACAGAGATTATACTGGCACCCTGGGAATTGCACATAAATCCAAGTACACCCATGAGAACAGTTGCACACGAGTGGACTTTGTGTATCATCTCTCTGATGTGTCTTTGCCAAAGGACCAAATAGTAGAAATAGAAAGTGTTGTTCTGGAGTTGGGGGATGGCCGAAATTTCTCCACTGGTTTGACTGTCTCCGGGCCAGTCAGTGTATGTCATATGTCCCCATATGGCAAGGACAGTATGTCCACCAGTCTGCAGGGGTTGGGATGGAATTCTAGGCTTTCTGAGAGTAGGAAGTGTTGCTCACTAACTTGACACTTATTTATTAAACATTCACCATGTTCTAGACACCAGATGTAGAGATCAAAAGAGAAGGTTCTGACATGTCATGTGACAGGGTTTAAGGTGTTCTTAGAGTTGGTGATTCTGTGGTTTGATGAACTCAGAGATGAACTCTTTCGATGGAGTCTATCTCAGAGATATTTTCACTGGAGATTTTGCTCACATTGATTTTTTTTAAAAAAATCATGGCTTTTTACAGCTATCAAAACCTTATGTGTGTAAAGCACATTTCTGTTTTTCATTTCTAAGAAAACAAGCTCACGTTCAAAACCACGAAGGCAAAGCTATGAAAGCTTAGGAATGCCTTAAGAAGAATATCTTCAATCATTCAGCAAATTTGCTGATGTCTTTTGACCRTGAGTAAAGACATAATAAAAGCTAAATATCCCTTAGAAAAGAAATGGATTTCAGTTCCAGCAATCTACGAGCAGCACGCCAGCCATTTAGAACACTGGCATTTACAAGCTCAGCGTGCTCAGCATGCAGAGTGCARAAGTGTTCTCATAGGCTCAGCGTAAGCTCCCCACTCTACCCCGATGCTGGACTCAGTCCTGCATGCTCAGTGTCTATACCTTGGCACTGATGACTTTCATTTTTTAATTTTTTTTATTTTTCCACTTGTGTGTGTGTTTCTGGAACAAAGAGTAACAGGGGTATTGGTTTCASATAGAGGAAAAAAAAAATCCTGGCAATAACAGAAGTTTTTACCTTGCCTCCTTCTGGGCTTACAGACACTATCAACATTAAGAAGGAAAATATAAAACAGGCAAAGGAACTGGGGGAGAGGGGCAAGAGGGGAGGAAAGTAAACTAATCATCTAATTCAGGTTATGGTGTCTAAAGGTATTTTTAGAGGGACAGTTTTGTGTCTAGTCTTCCTAACGGTGGCGAAAATAGGGGAAAATGGTCCTCCATGTGAGCCTGTGTTCACATGATGGAATACGAAGCCTTTACTAGAGAAAGCCATAGCTAGTAMTGTGTTGTGACACTGGAATAATATTTCTATGTGGTTTCCTATAAGAAATAYGTGCTGAAAGGCAGTGGATAGCCTCATTGAAATTGTTATAGTAAATGCAACTGTTTCCATGAATCTTTTTCTTATGCTCTATTCCCACCATAGTCCAATAGCATCAAAATAAAGARAAATGTAATGAGAGCAAATACTCTAAGGCCCAAAGGATATGGTCTGGCTTAATCTATGCACAGAGGTTAAAGGTATAGTTGGGCCACCTGTCTCTCAGGTARGGGGTCTTCTTGAGTAGCAGTCTTCCCACCAAGATTTGGAGGAGGTGTGTAGCAGTGCAGGGTCACCATTAGCCATAACCATTGCAGACCCATGTATGTGAACACTGAACTGAGCTGGTATTGGGTGGACACTTTGTTACAAAAATGAGGGAGTCCTAAGTGGAGTCCCACGGTGGAAAGAGCAGAGTCCCCTGCTCTTTGAATCAAATTCCTCCCAAGAGGATGCCCGGCCACTGTTCTCATGGTGGCGGGAGCCTCTGTTGGGTACATTTCTATATATTATCTGTGACACCCTGGAGAGGAATGGTGCTTCCCTTTGCTGTTGTTAGATCTCTGAAGTGCAGCCATCAGCTACATGGCTGCTGCCGTAGGCAGGTGACGCCCCCTGCACACCTCCGCATCTGGATGCCCAGCACCTGTCAGTACATGGCAAAAGGAATTAAAGATGTAATGGAGKGCAAGACCTGGAGATGGACTGTGTTGAATTATGCAGTTGGGCCCAGTGTAACCAGAAGGGTCCTTAAAGGTGGAAACGGGGGTGGAGTAGGCAGAAAAAGTCAGAGACTTGAAATGCTCCACTGCTGGCTTCCATCATGGAGGATGGGGCAATGAGCCAAGGAATGMAGGTGGCCTCTAGATGATAGAAGAGACAGGAAATGGATTCCCTTCTGGAGCCTTCAGAAGGAGCACAACCCAGCTATCACCACGATTTTCGCCAAATGAAGCCCATTTTGCGTTTCAGACCTCCAGAATGGTAACATAATAAATCTTTCAGAGCCACTAAGCTTGTGGCAATTTGTTACAGTGGCAAGGAAACTAACACATCCACGGTGACATGGGACTCATGTCAGGAACCTATGCCACCCTCCATTGTCTCTGTGGAGAGACCACCGAGGCCTGCAAAAAAATGCCAGGAGCAAATATCAGAGCTGGGATTTGTTCCCGGATGTGACAATTCCAAACCCATCATCCCTTCCACTCAGAAGCCCAGAGTGTTGGGAGAACATGGATCGTTCACTCCTTCACTTATCCTTTCATTTAGTAAGTATTTATCCAACCTCTACCACGTGCTAAGTACAGATGTTTAGAACAGCCGAGAGACGATGGCCCAGCTCTTCATTCTAACCCGATGTGGAGGAGATGACGAGAGATGAAGCCTAATTTAGATAAAGTTGCCTAAATCGGGTTTATACAGAGAGTGTGTGGTCCTAATGGCACCAAGACTCCTGTTTGATTTGCATCACAGGCTGGGATGGGGAATTTGCAGACAGCAAGTGAGTTATGCCAAGCTCCGCTGTGACTTTGGGGAGCTTTAATTTGGCATTGGCAAGAACTTCAGTGCAGAGCAGGACGCGCTGTCCCTGAATTGCCCAGATGCCTCCACTGTCCTGTCCCAACTCTGAACCCATTGCTTTGCCCTGACTAGAGCAGGACCAGATGGGCTGGGATGGTAATGCCCCTAATCGAATCTTCAGAAACTGCTGGAAAATTGGCTCAGAGTCCCCTCAAAGGGGAAGTAACCAAATAAGCAGTGGCATGGGACTCATGTCAGGAACGTCATCGGGCTTTGCTGCCAATTCCGTTTAACGAGACTTGCCAGTGAGGCAACAGTGCCTGGGAGGCTGTGCACAGAGGCCTGCTCCATTTCTGGAGGGGGGGGCGCTGTGGTGGCTGCGAGGCTGTTTGCAGCTACAGTCGACCTGTGACGCTTTCTAGTTCCCAGGGTCCTTTCCTTTATCACTGTACCACCCGAAGCAGCCAGCGCTATGGACAGTGAGCGTCGCTCTCATTTGACAGAAGAGAGAGTCGAAGGAGAGAGAAGCTGGAGCGCCTGAAGGTCAGGCCAGAAGGGGCTGCTGAGCCTGTGTCTGATGCCCTTGCTGCTCTACCCAGCCCTGCAGCAGCTGGTAGAGGAGGAGATGAGATGTGCCTCCCTCCAACACCTCTTCAGGAAGTGGCTCTGGGAGGGTAACCCAAGACTGTCGTCTTCCTCTCCAGCCACACCCAGCTGCTCACTCTGCTCAGAACCCACCAAGCTCTTTGAACCTCTCTGCCTTTTCACATACTGCTGCTTCCTTCCAGAAAGGTCTTCTCTGCTAGGTCAAGTTCCACCCACTCTGAGAAGACATACTGAACTTCTTGGTGTGGGTAACCTTAACCTTGCTTGAAAGCTACAGGAGAATCCTTCTAGATTATCATGGAGTCATTTTCTGGGCAACATTTYTTGGCCAGAGCTGTATCTTCCAGAGGCATGGATGGGTGTTAGGAATAACCCAAATTCAACCCTCAGCCCTATCATTTATTAGCTGGGTGCATGTGTGGGCAACTTAATTTCTGTAAAATGGAAGTGACAACGTGTACATCATTATCAGCATAATACCTGACGTGTAGTCTATAAATGGCAAGGAGAGAATGGGGAGAGGGAGAGGGATAAAGTGGAAAAGAGGGGGAGAGAGAGAGAGAGAGAGAGAGAGAGAGAGAGAGAGAGAGAGAGAGAGAGAGAGAGAATTCTTTGTATATAACCTTGGACCCAAAGTAGGGACAGAGTAAATTGAATTATTTCTGGCCAATTATTTGAGGCTAAAAAAAGACACTGCTTCCCTGTGTATATTGCACTTCCTGAGATGACACAAAGAGAAGGCCCTTCGCTTCTGTAATATTCTTTCTCCCAACCTATAACCACAGTTTAATCATGATAAAACATCATGCAGGCACAAATTGGAGAAATTCTATAAGAGATCTGACCCATATTCCTCAAAACTTTCAAGGTCATGGAAAACAAAGAAAGATTAAGGAACTGTCACAGACCAGAWGTGACAAAGGAGTCATGGAAACTAAAAGCAATATGGTAGCCTGAATTGGATCCCGAAACAGAAAATGGGCCTTAGTGGAAAAACTTATTCAATTCAAGTAAAGTCTGTGATTTAGCTCATATTATGGTGTTAATCCCTCAGTTTTGGAAAGCATACCAGGGCAGTGTAAGGCA